CACGATTGCGACGCCTTTGCGGGCAGGGCTAGCAGGCCCGTGCTGAGCACCGCGGCTGTGCCGCGGCCTTCCCCGCCAAGGCTTCCGAGGTTGGCGGCTGGGACTTCTGGTTCAAGAGCGTCGCCGTCGCGCTGTAGGATGTCGCCCATCTCGACCTGCCCTCGATGCGACTTCGTGCCTTGGACGCACTGGGCAAGCTGTGAAACAGACAGCCGGACAGCTACAGTGACGCGCGGCAGAGACGCGCCAAGCTTGCGCCGCGCTGAGTCCATGGGCGCCGGCAAGCTGCTGGCCGCCAGCCTCGCGGCGGGCAGCGGCCTGCTAGCTGCGAGGAGGGGCCTGCGACGCTCCCAGACATGGCGAGAGCCCTGGTGAAGGAATGGTCAGGGCATTTGGGAGTGGGGGCCCCCGAGCCGTCGGGCAGGGGGGGCCGGCGTCTCCTGGCCCGACGACCTGGGCGAGAGGCCCCCGAGGCCCGCCGTGGACGAGGTCAGGGCGGTCGTCGCCTCTTCCAAGGGGGCATCGGGCTCGTCCTTCGACTCGCTCAGGCCTCGAGTGCTCGGGTTGCTTGGCGCCGAGGGTCTAGGGGCGCTCGTCGACCTCCTTGATGGCCATCGAGGCGGACTGCGACTGGCCCCCCTCGTCGCGACGCTCGCCCTCATCCCGGAGGCCCACGGGGGACTGCGCCCCATCGCGCTGTCGGGGGCGATGGTCCGCATCCACGGCGGGCCCCGCAGGCCCACTGCGCGGCAGTGGGGGCGAATCGCGACGGGCATTGCTGGTGGGCGAGCTCGGGCGCGAGCTGTGGCCGCGCGGTGTGGCAACGGCGAGCGCGTGCTGAGTGGGTGCAGATGATGGCCGGCGTACGTGCCAACCAGGACTGGGCCTCGGCGGCCGTCTTCATGGGCCTCTGGAAGGCCTTCGAGCAGATCTTGCATTCGCACCTTGTCGAGGCTTGCAAGCAGCGCGGCTTCCCGCTATGGCTAGCCAAGCTGCAGGTGTCGCTCTACAGGCCGCCGAGGGTCATCGGCCGTGACCTGCTGCTCCGACGGGCTGGCCATCCTGCAGACCGTGCTGGCGGGCGACGTTCTCGCCGCCAACTTCGGCGAGATCGCGCTGCTCGCGCCGCTGAGTACCGTGATTTTGCTGAACCCGTCTGCGGCGCCCGCGGTGGTCGACGACGACTTGGCGCTGCAGCGATGGGGGGGGGAGGGGTCGAGAGGATGTCCAGGGCCCCCCCCAGGGCGGCGAGGCCGTCGCGCGCAACCTTTCGAAAGTCAGGCTCAATACTGCAGCCAGGAAGTTGAGAGTCTTGGCAAGCCACGAGGCGCTCAGAGACAAGCTGCAGAAGTTCCTGGGCCAGGCCGCGGGCGCCGCCAGAGTCAACGTGGTCAGGTGCCTCGGTGTGGATCACGCTGGGGGCTGGCGCAGGTCCATCGTCGTGCGCGTGGTGAGGATCGCGCAGAACAGCTGAGTCCTCCGCGCATCAAGCGCCGTCCTGGCCCGCAAAGTGGGCGCGCTGCTGCTTCGAGGATGGCCTCGACGGGGTTAGCCCCCAGTCTCTTCTACGGGGTCAACTGCGCGGGGCTCGACGACGCGGAGCTCGGGCAGTCGCGCGCCGTCGTCGAGCGCGCGATCGGGCCGAGGCCGCAGGGCAAGTCTCCGACGGCCTGCCTCATGGTCACGGGCTCGGACACGCTGGGCCCAAATCCCTGCCGCGCTCGGGACATGTATTTCTTTCGCCAGGGCCGTTTGGGGGGTCTGGATTCCCGCGGCGCAGTTGGAAGCTGCGTTCGACTTGGCGGCCCGCGTCGCCTTCGAGTGGGAGAAGGTCAAGGGGTCGTTGGGGCGGCGGCCATGCCGCTCCGAAGGATTGGCTACAGCGTGCAGGGTATGCGCGAGCTGATCAGGCCGATGGGCGAGTTGCTGGACCTGTTTGACATCTCGCCCTAGTACTTCAAGAAGGTCTTCATCGTGGGCATCACGACTTGGCAGCTTCAACGGCTCGCCAACAGCATGCGCATCGACCTGGTGCAAGGGGCCATCGTCTCGCGCGCCCGGCGCTAGATCGACAACGGCAAGGGCAACGCCGCCGAGGCGCGCAAGTGGAGGGGCCTCACCTGCGAGGGGCGGGGCTACCGGAGGTCCGTGGTCGTGCAGCGGCAGTGGCCTAACGATAGGAGGTGCTACGCGTCGCCGCGGCTGGCTGCGAGGCCATGCTGTCAGTTCAGCCCCGCGGTTTTTGGCACGCTGTGGCATCGGCGCTTGTTGTGCCGGGGGTGCTGGCCGAGTCGCGCGCTGCCGGCCGAGGTCACCAAGCTTTCGGCCTTTCACGCGAGTATCGCGATCAAGACCTTGGTGGAGCGGCTCCTCCCTCCCGGGCCGTTCCATGCATGGGGGCCGCCAGGTGACGACCTCCTGGCGCGCGCGCAGTGGATCGAGGGGGGCGACGGCTTGCCGTTCGCCGACACCGAGCTCTTCTCTGATGGCGCGGTGTTCGAGGCTGGCCGCGCGCTCGCCATCTCTGCCAGCGCAGTGGTCGAGCTGGCGCCTGGCGAGCCAGGGAGTGGGCCCTGGGCCCCAGGCTGCGCCCGGGGTGCCGGGGGCGCCATTTTCAGGCCCGCTGCGGTCCATCGAAGGGGCGGTTTTGCTGGGCCTGCCCATGTTGCTCTAGATTCCTTGCCGCCCGTTGCCGCCGCGTTCGACGCCTCCTTCGTCGTCGAAGGGCTGCTCGAGCGCGGGCGTGCTGGAGCCGCCGAGGCGACGGCGGCCTGGGGTGGTCTGTGGCGCAGGACGTGGCAAGCGCTCGAAGACATCGGAAGCGTTGGCGACCAGGCTCTCGCGGTCAAGAATTCGAAGGGCCGCGCTGCCATGCGGGGCGCGTTGGCTGGGAAGATCACCGGGCGCGACAGGCGAGGCAACGGGGGCGCGGACAGGTGCGCCAGGCATGTCGCCCAGGTCTTCCGTTCTCCTGCTGATGTCAGGGGGGCTCGTGAGGTCAGGGCCTCTACTCTGGATGGAGTTGCCCATTGGGTTGGCGCCGCTGGTGGTGGAGCGGCCCAGCTCCGACAGGACTCCGATGGGAACTACCGGGGCCGTGCGAGAAGGGCCCGACCCTCTCTCTCAGGAAGCGCGAGACCATCTGGATTGCGAGTGACTGGGTCCACTGCGTCAAGTGCCTCAGGTCTGCTTGGGGCGTGAATGGCATCGAGAGGCTCTACGGCCGCACCTGCAGCGAGAAGGCCTTCTCAGGATGGGGTCTTACCGCCAGCAATGCCTCGTGCGTGGGCGCCTCCTCCCTCCCAGCCTCGCGTGAATTTCTTGGTATGTTAGCCAGCTGGGTCGCGGGCCCAGCTGCTCGGCAGCACAATGCCGTTTTGGTTTCCCTGTTCAGGCGGCACCTTCTGACGTGCCTGGCTGGAGTTCTTCTGACAGCACGTTTGATCGGCCCGCAAGGGGCGGCATCAGCTTTTAGTGTATTGTTGGCTGCTGCCTGCTTTTTTTCCCATCGTATCATATCGTTTTCGTGTTTATTCATTTCGTTTTTTCCGTTTTTCCGTTTCGTTTCAAGGTTGATACATTTTCTTCATTTCGTTTTCCCCAGACAGGCACCTTGCCAGCAGAGGTTTGAACACAAATTTCAAGGTTTGTTTGCAAATGGCCAGTCCCTCCTTTTCGGCGCGCTTTGCCTTTCATAGTGCCAAAGAGCGCCCTTGCTCCAGGATGGCACGCGTTCGTCAAGCCTGAGTCCAGCCAGCGAAGCCTCCCTCCTCGCTCTTCCTCCTCCTCCTCCTCCTCCCTCTCCTCCTCTTCCTCTTCCTCCTCCTCCTCCTCCTCCTCCTCCTCCTCTTCCTCCTCCTCCTCCTCCTCCTCCTCCTCCTCCTCCTCCTCCCCAACCACTCACTTCACCCTTTACCGATATGTTCTCCAGTTTCCCTGCTTTCTGCTCCTTCCTCTCACTCTCCTCTGTTTTCCCTTGCCATCCCTCTTGCTTTCCTCCTGCTCCTTCTCAGCCACCTTTCTCCCTCTCGCCCCCCGCCTCAGGCAGTGCTGTCGTTGAGGTTCCAACTGCTCCTCACAACACTGATGAACTTCCAGCCGCAGAGGCCTTCCCATTGCCCGCCTGTGTTCGTCTTCTTGTTGTTCACCGATGGCGGATGCAGACAAGGATGTATCTCAGCTGCTCCTCGCATCGCTGATGGGTCTCGAGCATCGAGCGGGGCGCCGCATGCGAGCAGATCGGCTCCGTTGCTCCGACGCGCACGTCTTCGTACAACATCGCTCAGCGCCGCTGCTCGAGCGAGGGCGAGAGAGAAGATCGGATCGGATCGGAGGTCTGCGAAAAGGCTTCACTGGGTGCGACTCCAATTATGGGAACTGCAGGCCGTAGACGAGGGTGAGGAGGGGGAAAAGGAGGAGGAGGATGATGATGATGAGGAGGAGGAGGACGTGCAGCAGGAGGAGGAGGAGGAGGAGGAAGGTGGAGGATGAAGAGGAGGAGGTGCAGGAGGTGCAGGAGGTGGAGGAGGAGGAGGAGGAGGAGGAGGAGGAGGAGGAGGAGGAGGAGGAGGAGGAGGAGGAGGAGGAGGAGGAGGAGGCGGAGGGGTGGGGGCCTCTTGGGCGAAGTTCGGCCGTTGCGTGCCCGAGGCGTGCGCGTGGCTTGCCATTCCTCGCGCAGCCGCGAGGGGTGTGTGCGTGTGGCTCGCTTATCGGGAATGCGGACGTGGTCCGTGATGCCCGCGAGTGACCTGTGGCTGACCAGCTGACATCACGGGTGTGCTTTCCTTTTGGGGGATGCGTGCTCCTTGGAGGCGCCCTGGGTGCCTCCACCGACATGCCCGGCAGGACCGACCGCCGCCTCCCTGGGCGGTATCCCGACAGGACCATGATCGCCAAGTTCGATACCAGGAGAGGGGGCGTTTTACCCTGGGAACACTACCGCCACAAGGCCCGACGGACCTGGGGACGCCTGGTACCGCGTGGACCACGCCCCCCCGCAGGTGCAAACCAACCGGGTGTGGACGGCCATCAATGACGTCTTCATGGTTTATGCCAAGCGAGTGAGCCTCTGGGGCAACTCGCTCCCGGTGATCACCTACACACTGGCCCTGCGCTTGCATGAGGTGGGGATCAAGGAGACCGCCAACTCGACTGCGGCCATGGCCACGGCACGGCGAGGGCTGAAGCAGCAGCAGGCAGCAGCCACCCTGGCAGTGGCCATACCTGACCCAGAAGACGATCGGGCAACGTAGGCTACCGAGAAACCGCCTGGCGGCGCTGGGCCAAACGACGATGACGTGGAGGCCTGCCTAGGACACGTTTTCCAGAGGATCCTCCCCGCCCCATTCAGCGCCTACGTCCAGCACGTCGCCGGGAGGTACCAGCTCAACACTGCCTAAACCGCCGTCCCCTCGCGGTCCTTTGAGTGCATGGTTCTACTGGTGCACGGACCACCTGGTACAGGCAAAACCAAGACGATCGCGGCGGTCCTTGACCTATGGGCGCTTTGTGCCCCCCCGGGGTGGGCCTCTTGGCGGTTCTAACAAGGCAGCCGACATGCCTGTCAAATACCTGGCTGAGGCAAAGAAGGCCGGACGGATGGACGAGGCCACAGGGTTCCCAGACACCGCACTGCGGATAGCCAGGGAGGAACGCGCCACGTGCAAGGAGGCCTTGGACCTGATCCCTGTTAACAAGCTCGAAGCCGCCTGAGGACACCATCCGTTCGAGAGTGGTGCCGGGGCCAGAACGTTCAGCAAGTACAAGCGTAGTCTGGTAGACAGAGTCAAGATTGTTTTCGACACCCCCGAAGTGGCCGCTGGCCTGGACACCAAAGGCAACCCGAGAATCATGCTGACGATCTGGGCGAAGCAGGGCAGTCCACCGAAACCCTGGCCATAGTCTTGCTCATGCTCCTGGCACGTTCGGGCTGGCGAGTCCTTGTCGTGGGAGACGTCCGGCAGTTGTGCTCCACGGTGGTCTCCGAGCGTGCGGTAGCCATGGGGCTCGCGATCTCCGATATGCAGCGCCTCCACGACTCTCTCAGCCCCGGCGACGACCGCGACTTTCTCCTGGACGCGTGCTACCGAATGCACCAAAGCATCCTGCAGTGGGCCTCGCGCTGCTTTTATGGAGGGAAGCTGATGTCTGGATTGAAGGACCCTGTTAAGGAGCGAGGCAGGTCGCAGGTCTGTCCTGGAGAGAGCCAGCCCATTTTTCCCCGAGGCAGGTCGACGGCTCTCGCGCTTCAGAGGGACTTGGAGACGTTGCGCCGCCACCCGGGTTAGGTTACTTCAGGAATCCCAGCCACGGGCCCCTACGAAGGTGACCGCGTCCGCGTCCTCCTGGTGCACGTTGAGGCCCACGAGGTCTCCGCAGCCATGGTCGAAGGCTATGCCAGCGTCAGGGAGGTCGCCGCCATCTGTGGCATGGCTGCAGCAATCTAGGATGATCTGGTTCAGACGGCGATAGGTGTTGATCCTCTGTTGCCACAAAGCTATGATGCCCCTGGTCAAGAAAGGCTTGCCGTTGACAGACGCGAAACCCAGGGCGACGTACGACGGCAAAGGCAAAGGGAAAGGGAAAGGATATGGCAAGGGGAAGGAGGGGGGCGGCTGGATCGGCAGGCAGGCCCCCCGGCCATGGCCGAGCCCCGCCCTGGGGCGTTCTTGGTGCAAGGCCCCCGCCGGCCAGGTCTCGGACCCCAGCCCCCGGGCAGTCTGGTGCAGGGGCCGCCGGTGCCGCTGGCCAGTCAGTCCTCAAGCGAGCCGCGGCGACCGACTTCCTCGGGTTGACATCCCTTAAGGCTTGAGAGCAGGGGCCCCAGTTTGTTCCAGGCTGGCCTCGCTGAGATCAGCGCCCTTGACTCCAGCCAGGGGGGTAAGGCAGACCTGGTCCTACTCGCGACCGCCTGGGTGAACGGCGGCCGCGCCTAGGGCTTCACTGGTGACTGGCACCTGTTCGACGTCGCATGCGCCGGGTCCAGGGGCGGCGTGGCCATCGAGGGCAATGGTGCCATGTTCAGCGCGGCCGCCGAATCGCAGCCGCGCATCCTGGCCACCTGGGGCGTCGAGGCGGGCATCGGGATGCAGCTGGCGCAGCCCCAGAGCGCAGGCAACGTGCGCGCGCTGTCCGAGGGCCTTGGGTTTCGCCCAGCGTTGCTGTGTGAGGCCTCTGTGTCCAACGAGACCGCCGATTATGGCCGGGACCGGATGGCAGCCGACGCCGCCCTCGAGGCCAGGGCCTGAGGAAGTTCGCCGAGATGCGGGGGCAGCAGCAGCTCGGCTTCGCCGCCCTGGTCGCCCCCCCCCCCCCTGCCGGGCAATTTTCGGGAAAGCGTCGCATTCGGGCGCGCCGGGGCCCGGGTTCATTTTTGACGAGGGCGCCCGCGTCAGACTCTTGATTGGGTCTCGTCATTTTCGCGATGGCCCCCGTCAGGCCAACCCGGGCCCTTTTGATTCCGAGTCTGACGTCTCCCCGAAGTTTTGATTGTGATTACCTGGCAGAGGACCTGCAGACCGCCGGGGCCCGGTTACTTGCAGATGGGCCCAGGGTTTGTCCCCGTGTTTTCTTCCCGTCGCGAGCTTCCGCCCGCGCGCGCGCGGCCCGGGCGAGCCCCGGGGCCGGGCGGATTATTGCAGGAACCTGCTCAGTCGCGGTGCTGGGGCTTGGCCTTGCGAATTTACGTTTACGTCGCGACCCGGGCCGTGCTGCTGCACCTGCCAGGCTCGCGGCTGAGCGGGCGCCCGGGCGCCGCGTCGCTGGGGGGGCAGTCCCCGCCGGAGCCTGAGCTGAGGGGCGCCGCTAGCCGATGGTCAGGCAGTTGGTCTCAGTGAGTCCGGGGCCGCGACGGCCAGTGGGGGCGCGCGGGGGCCGGGGGCGCGCGGGGCTCAGGCAGGGCGGCCTACGGTTGGAAGAATTGGGACGAGCGCCAGGACAGCCTGTGCGAGACCCCCAGGTGCAACCACCAGTGGACGCCGCAGTGGTCCAAAGCGGAGAAAACGCTCGAGACCTGGGCGAAGGTGGTCAGTCGTCTGAAGCACTCTTGCGGTGCGCTCTTCGTGGAGAGTCGGAACAGGGCCTGTGATCGGCGTGGCGGGAAGAGCCGCGGCAAAGGCACCTGCAAGTCTGAAGGCCATGGAGAGTTAAGCGAAACCGTCGTTGCGGAGTTGGCCACTGTCGGCTACGACGTCCGTCGCCTGTGTCGCCGCCTGGGCGTTGACTTGGCAGCGTGGGGGCAGCGGGGCCGCCGAGGTCAGGCAGCTGGCATGGGGCATGGGGGTAAGCGCCACAGCGAGGCGACCTGGCCCGTGGGTGACCAGTCCCAGCTGCGTAGGTTCTAGGGCAACGGAGGACCGGCGGACAGCCGGGTGCCCCGCGGGCACTCTCGTCGCCGCGGTGCTGATGACAGCGCGCTGTCACCCAACCCAGGTGGCCTGCGCACATTCTCCACAAGTCTTCGCACTAGGTAGGTGATTCCCATATACCCTCTTCAGTCTACGGCGACTGCGGCGCGCCTTCCAACCCGCGAGGCGCCCGCTCCCTCCTTCCACTTATCTGTGCACCTGCTAGGTGCTTCCCCGTTCTACGTGGCACCGTTGACGGCGGCTGCGTTGCGCCTTCCAACGCAGGAGGTGCCCGCTCCCTTCTTCCCTTCCGCCGGTCTGCGCGCTAGTTGGGTGCTTTCCGTTCTACCTGGTGCCGACGACGACGACCGCGGCGCGCTTTCCAACCCAGGAGGCAACCGCTCCTTTCTCTTCCAGCAGTCTGCGCGCCAGTTCAGTGCTCCCGTGCCGTGCCCTTCTCCTGGGTGCGCCCGCCGCGCGTGCCCTTCCGCGCCGTGCAACCTTGGCGGCGCGTGGAGCGGCCCATCTGGCTTCCCCGCTGCCTGGCCTCCCAGAGCCCTGCGGCGCGCCTTCCAGCCCAATTGGCGCTCCGCCTCTGGCTGGCGCGGACCCTGCGGCCGCCTGCTGCCCTCCGCCTGCCCCGCGCGGGGCCCGCTTCCGCTTGCTCCCTGCGCCCCCCCCATGCCCCGCCGCGTCAGCGCGGCCCTTCATTTGTGTTGTCCCTGGCGTCTCGGGCGCTGCCCGCGCGCCCTGCCCCTTCGGGCCCCGCCCCGCCCCCGCGCTGCCTTCGCGCGCTGGCCCCCCCGCGAGTCGCCGAGTAGACGACGCGCCGGGCCGCGCCCTGGAGGTGGCTGGCCCAGGCGGCCCCAGGGCTTTGCAGGGGGCCTCACCCCTCTCGGCAGCTCGCGCTGACCCGCCTGGGGGTGTCCGCCATTGGGGCCCACCCTGTGCTTTTGCCTCCCCGCGGCGGGCCCGTGCCCGCATTGTTTTGCACGAGGCGTCGCCCTCCACCGGGCGTTTCGCGTGCCCGGGAGGCGGCCTTCAACGGCGCCCCCTCTCGGGTGGCACCGTCTAGCGGCCTGTCCGCATCCTCTCTTTCCCTTCGTGCGGGCCCCGCCCGTGCGTCGCTTGCGCGGGCTCCGCCAAGTCCCCAGTCTGCGATGCCGTGCGCCAGCCGTGGGATGGCGTTCGCTTCTCCGCCTTCTGTCCTTGGCGCCTCGCTCCTGCGGCCTGTGGCCTGGCCGCCCAGTGTGTGTAGCGTCGCATTTGCTTGCCTGCCACTGTCAGCTCTGGGGCCGCCCTCGCAGCTGCCGCAGCGCCGGCCGCGCCGCGCCTCGGGCCGCCGCCTGGCGCCCGCGCCGCTGCCCCCCCCTGCCTGGCGCCCCGGCCCGCCCCTGGGCGCGTCGTGATGCCGCCCCGCGCGTGCTGCTGGGGGCTGCCCTTCAGCCTGGTCGCCCCCGCGAAGGCCCCGGCGGCTGCGTTGAAATTGCGCCGTTGCGCACGTGTTGGCGCGCGCCCTTCGCGCGTGTCGTGGTTCCGCGTCGCGGGCTCCACCGGAGGCCCCAGCGGTTGCGTTCGCGCGGCGCCGCCGCGTCCGTTTCTGCGCGCCGCTGAGACGTTTCGTGGCCCCCGCCAGGAACTGTGCCGAAGGCCCCAGTGACTGCTCTCGCGTGGCGCCGCCGCGCTCATTTCAGCGCGCACTTTGCGCGTTCGCGCGGCGCCGCCGCGCCCGTTTCTGCGTGCCGTTTCCACGTTTCGTGGCCCCGGATAGAATTTTACCGAGGGCCCTGGTGGCTGCGTTCGCATGGCGCCGCCGCGCCCATTCGGCGCGCGCACGCGCGCGCGCATGCGCGCATGCGCGCGTGCGCACAGTGCTTTAAGGGTAGCTCTTTGGGAGATGTTATATGTAAACGGGAGTATAGCCTGCGCGTCGCTGCGTTATGGCTCAAGGCACGCGCGCCCTATTTGCCCGGATACCTGACCTGGTATTCGCTATGTGCTGGAAAGATCATTACATCGAGTTTATCCCATCTTACTCATCCACACCCCATATTGTATTCCTTCGACATGGAATTGGATGCAATATGACCTACCAGAGTCATTTCAGACTTGGTAGCGGAGCTGGCCGCACTCTTGTGCGGTCAGCTCTTGCTCTTCTTATCCTCACGCTACACGGCACGATCCTCGTGACCAATCTCTACCCTGCGCCGCCACTCCACCGACATTTACGAGGATCAATCCAAGAGCAAGAAGCTACACGAGAGGTACGACGTCTAGACAACAACATTGGTACCATATACGCTTCATCACTACGCTACCACCAACCGCTCGGCAACGAGCCAAAAGCGCAGTACTTGAAGCGTAGGCGGGGAGACCCGCAAGATAAAGCGCCTCGTAGACTTGACAAGGCGCTAGAAGCCCTACCCCAGCGCGGCAACGCGCCCGATAACCACCCATACCTCCACAGCCTAGGGTTGGTTATCTTCGCCATTATATGGTTTGCGCTGGGGGCGGCAATCGGACACGTGCGCCGAGGAGATAATAGCACCGATGGGCAAACACATTGCCCATGCTGGGACCCCCGAGGCAACGTGCCCTTTCGCGAGTACGTCTACGAGGTCAACGCGCGGTTCAACGTCACGAGTGGACGCATGACGCCACAAGCCCAAGCAGCCGCCATACAACGCGGCCTGGGCGGCCTAGCGAGGACACTCGCCATGAGGGTACCACCTGACATCGTAAACTATGGTGCGGACATCGATGGTGTCCACACCGACCCAGTAACCTAGAGCATGTTCCTCCTAAGCATGAAGTTCGAACGCCTGGAAGATGAGCGCCAGCTCACCTCAGGCACTCAGCTCATCGACTTTCATGTGCCTCACGGAGAACGAATCGACGTAATTCTTACTCGGTTCGAAATGGCCCGTCTTGAGGCACAGTCGGTGGTTTTTGACCTTCCCAACTTCCAACTGCTTACGGCCATCCTCTTCCGCGCCCTAGGCGCTGGCAGCCAGCGAGCCATGCAACTCTTACAGCCACTCAACCACCAAATGCCCCGAACACAACAACAATTTGAAGAGCTGCGTGAGAGGACGCGCTCGGTAGGCCATTTGTCAGAAAGCCCCCCTGGTAACATGGGATCAGTGTTTGGAAGGGGAAGGGGAGCTGGCAGTGGACATTTCTACACTACCTTAACCACTGAAGCTCAGCCTGGCAACGGGCCCTCAAACATATGGGCCGACGATCCTGGAGAATCTACTGCCCTACTAGCAGGGGACCGATCACATCCAAGCTGGGCAGCCAGCCCCCCCTCCTAGAGAACCTCAGCCTCAGCGCTCCCTATGGGGGGAAGCGAACCCCTACACGATGGTGCAGCCACCGACTTAGGTAACGACGATTTCGACTCAGGCACCGACACCGACACGATATCATCAGATGGCATCGAACCGATGGACTGGTCAGATATCATGCAGATGGAAGATGATAATCAGCGTGTCTAGCAGTTTTTTGTTTATCACAACAAGCAAAGCGTAGGTGGAGGAGGCTTACACGAAAACCAGTGCGTCGTGTTAGGAGGAGGATACGGAGGAGCTTCAACGGAAACGGCAAAAGCAAACGGGGTCGCCGAAGGATGAACGGACGAGGCGTCACGGCTTTCCTCCAGAGGCTTTCGGATGATCAGTATGATGAACTATTCTTCGGGGGAAAAGGCCGTGGAAAAGGCCGTGGGGACACCTCAGGTAGAGGCAGAGGCAGGCGGGGAAACCCGCGAGGTAGAGACGGCCAGAGCTTGAAGTACCATGCGTGTGACAGTACCGATCATCTTGTGAAGGATTGTCCAGTGAAGGGGAATGGAAAGGGTAGATCGTCCGAAGTCCATTTAGGCTCAAGTGAACCTGCTG